TTTACCGTTACTTTCCCTCCTGTGTTTATAATGGAAATAAGAGAAATTTATTTACCGTTACTTTCTCTCCTGTGTTTATAATTGAAATAAGTGTCATTTTTTTTTACCGTTACTTTCCCTCCTGTGTTTATAATGGAAATAAGAGTCATTTCTTTACCGTTCATTTCCCTCCTGTGTTTATAATGGAAATAAGAGTCATTTGTTTACCGTTACTTTCCCTCCTGTGTTTATAATGGAAATAAGAGTCATTTGTTTACCGTTCATTTCCCTCTTGTGTTTATAATGGAAATAAGAGTCATTTGTTTACCGTTCATTTCCCTCCTGTGTTTATAATGGAAATAAGAGTCATTTGTTCACCGTTCATTTCCCTCTTGTGTTTATAATGGAAATAAGAGTCATTTGTTTACCGTTCATTTCCCTCCTGTGTTTATAATTGAAATAAGAGTAATTTCTTTACCGTTACTTTCCCTCCTGTGTTTATAATGGAAATAAGAGAAATTTATTTACCGTTACTTTCTCTCCTGTGTTTATAATTGAAATAAGTGTCAATTTCTCTACCGTTACTCTCTTATTTCCATTATAAACACAGGAGGGAAGTAAGGGCGGAGGTTGGGAGTGACATATAATATAAATATTAAGGTGGTTTCATTTCATTTCTACTTTAGGAATTATATGAACTTTTAAGGGTGACTGCCTTCCCACAATTGGCTGCAGACAGTGAATGGCAGTAGGAGTTGAGACGTTGTGGGTGTAAGGGTTTGATTTTGTCTGGTAGATGGGATATCCCCAACGCATTCGGGAGCTATTACCACAGACAATATCCGTTACGACTATAAGGTGACGACTGGGATTTACAGTGGATCTTGCAAAAACTTCTTAATGCTTATTTTATATTAAGTTCATTATTGTTTTATAGTGCTGGTTTTAATCGCCTATTAACAATTAATGCAAATAATAGTATTAAAGCTATTTATTTCATTACATATATATGTGTGTGTGTATTGCTTTTTCATAGCAAAGCAACAACAAGATGTCTGCTGTGTCCACCAAGGGGAATGAAACCCCTGATTTTAGCGGTGTAAATCCGTAGACTTACCTTTGTCCCAGCGAGGGACAACACTAACCAATGTACAAAAAAGAGAATTTTTTTAAAAATCGGGTGTTTAAATACACCATTAAGGAGATTACATAAATGGCTACACCTATTTATTCCAGACTTTTGACACAACAAAGCCGTTGTAGCAATGAAACTGCAATAAAGAAAAAGTTAAAAGCGTTTCTATACAGTACTAAAAGTAAAAGCGTTCTAAAACTTAGGAAAAAAAAATAGAATTAAGGAAAACAAAGACAACTGTATGTTTCGCAGATTATGGAGTTTTAACAAGTACAAAACGTTTCAAGTATTAATAATATGAAATTCAGCTATAAATTCTATATACATAAAGGTAAAATTACATCTGTGGTAGGGAGAAATACCCGTAGAACATAACTTAGAAAGAACATTTATATTTTTAGTATCAATGTAAATATAATATAATCATCAGTAGTGATATGATAGCTGACCACGCTTCCACGAAACCTCTTAAATAAAGTGTTCAACATTTCCGGTCAGAGGAGTTTGGAATTTTATATTTGATTCCAAAAATAACGCACTAAGGAATGTATAAAAAAAAAGTTACATAAATGAAACTTTTATATTATAAAATAACTTGATAGTTACTGATAGTTTAGTCTTGAAAATAAACGTTGACTGTGTGTTAAGCCTCAACAAGTGGTGTTAAATTCCGCTGCAGTAGCATTGCCAACTGAAACTTTTTCACAAAGGTCTGTGTGTGTATCCGCTTAAACTGGTGAACCAATGAATCAAATGTCACCAAACTTGACATATACTCTTACAGCCTCGGGGAAGTGACATAGGGGATAGATGTTTGGATCTCATTACCCATTTGTCACCCCCAGGGGTCTTCTCCATGCGTTCAATGGGTACGTCAGCTAGTTTGTACAATAGAGTAATAGTATATGATTGTTTTCAAACGAGACCCAAAACTCTAGCGCTTTCGAATAGTTGACTATTCTTCTCCGGAAGAATAAAGGGTTATGTTTAATGAGTGTATACATATGTATTGTTATTATTCTGACATTCATTTCGTCCCTTGGGAGGTCAGCTGTAAGTTTACGGATCTACAACGCTAAAATCAGAGGTGCGATTTTCCGCGATGGACAAAGTACAGATAACCAATTGTGTAGCTTTGCACGATGATATAATCAACAACATTCACTCCCATCCAAATCTGTGGATTTCTAAAATTCTAGAGACATAAGACTAATGAGGTGTCACAAGTCTGAAGAATTTAAAAATAGAGCATGGTATTTTATTACACCCACGTGTATTTAGTAGTTTTTGCCAGTCAAGGCCAACAAACAAAAATATTTCACCAAGGTCTGTGACGTCACAAGCCCTCTCTATAATTAATTTTTTCTTTAAGATCCGGGTTGTTAAATTCAACCGGTTTGGGGAAATATATCATGTCTTATCAAGAACCCTGAAAAAAAGGGCAAATAATCAATGTGTATGGACAGCGTAGATATTTCGCTATAGACTTTGTCTCTGTCCAACAATCTAAAAAATAAAAAAAAGCCACTTTACTACTAACAAGCAAACTGAAGATCAGTTTATGTAAAAGTAATATACAGAAAAAAAAGAGAATACAAACTAAGTTTTTAATAGTAATAAAACTGACCAAAAATATTTTAAAGCGTTATCTTTTAATGTGGATATTTTGTTATTGAAAAACAGTTGAGTAAATGTTAGAATAAAAGTAATCATTGCTTGCAGAGATAACTGCGTTAACAGTGTTTCTACAGGAGTATACACACACATGAGAGAGAATTGGCGTATAGAAGAATTTTTTAAAAATGTAATGTTTCAAAACTTTTTTTAGAAGTTTACATCAAAACAAGTATCCACCCAAGTAACATTACACTCTTATTCTATCTTTTTCTTGTACGCTATTTAAGCTACGCTTTCTTACAGGCATTATGTGTTAAATCCATAAATCCTGGTCTCTTTGAAAAAACAACAGCAAAAGAAAACGCGGATAGATAAACAAATTCACATAGACATAACTTTATTTAATAAAACTACACGTAAAGTAAGCAATAACGTATAGTAATGGTACTTATAATAGTGAAACACTTATGAGCGTTTAGTGTATAACTCGGTTTTAAGAGCTGATACAAAGAAACTCACAAGTCAGAAGATTAAAACCTGTATTAAAGAAAAAAGTACCTAAAAGGTGTATATAGCATAGCAGTCTATGAAATGAGCCGAAGCCAATTTATTGCAAAGTAAAGTAAATGTAAAGTTGTAATGAAGGCAAACTTAGCTAAATATGCAGAAACGTCTGAATGCATGTTCACAAAGTGATAAGCATAGAAATTGTATTTAGTGTAATGTTCATTTTTTTAAGAAGTTACACTCGGGTTAAGTGTCATTTGTGTGAAATACTTTGTAAATAAAATAATTAAAGTTGAAATGGAAGCCAGTCGTTATTACGCTATCGTCGTATACCATACTGGTAGTTTGACTAAGCAAAAAACGGGTAAGGACAAAATGATTCTGTATTGAAATGCCGATATACAATCTAGACTCATTGGACAAAGGCCTTTCTAACGATATGAGCTTTGTAGTGTGTGATAGAGAAATTTGCGAGAAACATTCTGGACAGACAAATGTGAACGTATTATTTATACGGATTTATTAATTAAAAGTTAAAACTGTAAATGTAAAATTTAGTAACAGAAGTTGAATTTATACAGATCTCAGCACTAAGCTGCTATTACTTAGGACGAGCAAAAACATGACTCTTATCTCCATTATAAACACAGGAGGGAAAGGAACGGTAAAAAAATGACACTTATTTCAATTATAAACACAGGAGAGAAAGTAACTGTAAAGAAATGACTCTTATTTCCATTATAAACACAGGAGGGAAAGTAACGGTAGAGAAATTATTCTTATTTCAATTATAAACACAGGAGAGAAAGTAGCGGTAAAGAAATGAAGATGAAATGAAATAAAAGATCTTAAATTGAACTACAAGCCTTACCTTAATCTTTCTTATGTAGTTCATACTCCCAACCTCCGCCCTTACAAATGAAATGAAATAAAAGATCTTAAATTGAACTACAAGCCTTACCTTAATCTTTCTTATGTAGTTCATACTCCCAACCTCCGCCCTTAC